GTATGAACTGCTGCAAAAGAAGAATCGGCAAAAACTTCGAAAATAGAATGATCTGGACCTGAGATGAGCGTGAGAAGGACCCCCGACTTTGCACAACAAGCCCACACCTCGGTGTAAGGCAGGGGCGGAAAAAGGACTACGGACGCATCAAAATGCACATCGCTTCCCACAACGTCAGGACATTATCGACAGACTCTCTCCTGGACGTATATCTACAACAACTGGAAAAGATCAAAGCCGACATTATCGGTGTATGCGAAACTAGGAGAGCACGCGCTGTCTCAGCGAGGTGGACAAGCGGTGAAGAAATTCTGCTGGGAGAAGGAGCCAACAATGTGCCCAGAACAGGTGGAGTCGGTTTCATCATAAAAGCGAAAATGGTCCCGTACATTATTTCTTGTGATATCATATCCCCACGTGTCGCTGTTCTGAAGGTCAAACTACAAAAGTTGGGAAATCGAACGCTCAAAATGGTGCAAGTATATGCGCCCACTATCACGGCGGAGGACGACGAAATCGAACGTTTCTACGAAGAAATAGAGACGGCATTGAAGCTTAAATCGACATACACTATTGTTCAAGGCGATTTCAACGCAGTTGTCGGCTCCCGATTGGACGATACGGAATACCTCATAGGAAGGTACGGTGCGGGAGTAAGAAACGACAGAGGAAACCGTTTGATCGAATTTGCAGAACAACATCAATTCTCAATAATGAACACTTTCTTCGAGAAGAAAGCGAAGCGTCTCTGGACATGGAGAAGCTCAGACACGAGAACTCTGAGGCAAATTGATTATGTGCTGACCGATACGCCAAGATTGTTTGCTGATGTCTCTGTTATAGGGGAAAATGTGATAACGACTGGCTCCGATCATCGGCTTTTGCGTTCGGTGATCCTCTTCGATGCCAAGAAAGAACGTCGAGTTCTGCATTCGCAAAGAACACTCGTACGACAAACTTTCAATGCCGATATGTATGCTGCGATGATAGAGTCGTCAGATCTACACATGAATACCGGAAGCAATATCGATGCCGACTATGAAGATCTAGTGGGAAAAATAACTCAGGCCGTGAAAGCATCGAGCATTGCAATAGAGCCCGCAAGGCGACGACGTATATCGACAGAAACACTGCAGATGATGAAGAGGAGAGCACGCATGAAGGCTGAAGGACGAGTGCAAAATGAGGAATACCGGACACTCTGTGAAGCGATAAGGGAAAGAATCAAGTGCGACTATAAAGGCTACAGACAATGAAACATCGCGAAGCAGC